GAGGCCGACGTAGTTGTCTAAGCTGAGACACGGCTTTATACCTGGCTTTGAGAAGATGCTTTTCCTGTTTTCTCATAACAACATTCATTATAAAGAAAGATGCCTGAAAAAAAAAAATAGGCCCTATTTCTTTTGCAGTGACTACATATCATCTTTTTGGTCATATTATGGTCCAAACTCTCATGCAAGTTTATGTGGGTATAATGAAATTATGATCTCTGAAAAATAGCTGTCAAGAAGAAGAACAGGATGAAAAGGCCACAAATACAACAACTTGAACGTCTCAATAATCAGTCGGGTAGGGAAAAAGCTGTCTCAGAAATCCATTTCTATGGAATATGTTGTATTTTATTTTCCAAACACACACTGGACTGAGAGGAAGGCTATTGATCTATTAACCACAGCATAGAAGACAATGCAGTATAGTCTTCTTTCCATCTTGCTCCCTGACGGTTTTGTTTTGGGTTGGGGGGGGGGGTGTTACTGTTTCTTTTGTTGTTGTTGTTTTGGGGTTTTTTTGGTTGTTATTGAGTTTGGTGGTGTGGGGTTTTGGGGGTTTGTTGGCTTTTTTTGGTGGCAGTTTTTTGGTTAGGGTTGTTTCGTTTGGTTGGGTTTTGTTTGGTTGGTTTGTTTTGGTTTGTTTTTTTGAGAGGGTAAACAGGTATTCTCTTCTTCAACTCTTCTCATCTGATCTGCTTTGGTCTTTAGGCTGTCCCTGGCTGGTCCCGACCACATATTCTGCTTTCTCCAGTACTTCAAAGGGAACAAACATGGCTGTAAGGCTTGACTGGAAGCCTCTTTATCCCAATATTAAAAGATTTTCTGTACTCCACCCTCCTCTGGCCTTTGAACAACAAATGAAACCTAGCTTTACCAGAAAAGGGTGCTCAGAACAATGTCCATTGATGGTCCATTAACGGCAGCAGCAGGACAGCATCACATCATGTGTGGTGGTGTGTGAAAGAGCACTCCACTTCGTGTATCCTTAAGGGTCAAGGAGCTGATGAAGAATATTTCAAGTGGCTTCAGAGTGCTTAATTCTATTTACATTATCTCTGGTCATGTCCACTTACAGAAGAAAAGAGGAGGACAAAAGGAGACTGAGTTGGAAGTTGGGTAAGAGAATAGCCTTAAGTTTGGTCCTCACAAAAACATCCCTTTGAAGACTGTAAAAGGAACAGCTCAAAACTCAAGTCTTTAACTTCTGGTTTCTCCCTAACACCCCTCGATGCTGTTTTCTTACTAGTGGTCTGGTTATGTTGCCCTTTCCATCTGTTATGCTGCCCTTTCCACCTGTTCGCATCTCTGGCAACCCTTCAAGCACTTTTTGAGAAGGACCAAATTCATTCCTACAGTCTGATTTAGAAGTTATATCCTTCCTTAAGCAAGGAAAGTGCTTATTTTAAAAAATAAAGTTTGATTTGACAACATTTACACATTTGAATAATGCAGGCATTTTCTGATACAACATCTTGGTACCATTTTTCCTTAGTTTTTATTTCATTCTAGAAATGTTTGACTAGAAAACTGGAAGGAAAAAAATTGTTTGTAACAAACTGTGAGAACAGACCACCATATCTTAGAAATAAAAATACACACTGAAAGAAGAAAGTGGCCAACTTTCTTCTTTCTCCTGCAGTACAGCCCCAAGAAATTTGAAACCACAAGGGGAAACCCCAACTAGATAAAAACTCTGGACAACCCTCTAGAAAAATTAAATATAGATGCTTGAAACAACTGTATATTAAAATTGCAACTGACCCAGCAAAATTATCAAGTGTTTAGAAAATGTAGCAGTAGTATTTGGGATAAATCAAGCACAAAGATGCATCAGGAAAAATTTCCGCCTCGTTATTGTATTTTACTGTAGAACATCAGCTCCACCTGCTGGTAAAAGTAAGTTCCTGAGTGGCGTGCCACAGTTTTCCACAAACCTATGTTTTGGAAGCAGAGAGTCTTCGTGCTGTGAGTTAAGAGCTTTTGATTTAAAGTAGTAAAGAGTTTATGTCAAATGTCTATTCTGACATAGTTTGACGACATGATGGCTTAAGAAAAATAGTTTACAGTGACAGTATTTCATGGTCTATATATCACTGAAAGCACACGACTTCAAAAGGTTATTAGTGCGAAAGCACACGACTTCAAAAGGTTATTAGTGCGATGCACGCCAGTTGTAAAAATAGCTCCAAATATTAAGAAAGAGTCAGCTGTTTTCCTGCTACCCATTAATTTTCATTAAAAACAAATGGTGATTAATAACATTGTGATTAAAACCAAATTCATATAATTAAAAAAATATAAATATAGCATCACAAGCTACACATCTTTTAAAAACTGTTCTACTCCAAAAACCACTATATATGTTTTCCTTCAATATAAGACATTAGTTTTCAAGCTGTTTTCACTTGTTTAAAAATTTTTAATTAATGTTTTCTAAAAACAAGCTAGAGATGTGTGGTTAATAATAAAATCCAGTACCTCTAGGCTTCTCTTCAAAGAATTCAGATGCAGAACATAAATCAATGTTGAAATGAGTATTCAATTAATTGAGGATTGTTTCAAACATAAAACCTCTTTATTGCTCTCTGAATTCTGTTCCAAGATTTTCCAACTCTTTCCAAAAGTTGTCTTTAATTACTTCGTGAGTTTTCTAATAAACTGTGATTATATAGGATTCCATGTAACATTTGACATCTAAACTCCAAACTTCCAAGCTTGAAGAAAATAGCGTAACTCTAGCAGCAACGATTCAGACATGTATCTTCAAGGCGGTGTATTTAGGGAACACATGTAAAAAGTTAGAACAGAAATCTACATACTCCCATGACACCGGAAGAATATGCGAAAAAATTCTACTTTTCAATTTTAGTGCTAGGCTGACAAATGTTTTTTTCCCCAAGAAAAGAAAACAGTTCTGGCTCTTCCAACACTTCAGTGAACAGTTATTTGAAATCCTTTTTGGACCTGCTTTCACAGCAAACTATTTTAAGGTACCAAATCATACAATCCAACCCACCAAAAGCTTCCAGTGATCAGTGAGAGCCCAGGTTAGCCTGGAGTTCCACCAGTGAGAGAGAGACACTTAGCAGCTGCTTTACGTAGGAGGAGTCTGATAAAGCATCATTAAAATAGAATCAAAACTTCTCCATAAGAGGATATTATCTTGACAGATTTCTGCACAGAATTAACTTTGCTCAGGGTAGTGGAATTTTATAAACACAAATCATCTAACACAACAGGCTTCACTTCAGTATTATCCGTAAATTGTACAAGGAGTACACAAAACCATATTTTTTGTTTCCACTGGTAGCATGCTGCAATGGTTACAAAATGGTATACTTACATTAGCCTAAAAGATTTGAAAACAACTAGGCAATAATGTCTCTGACGAACTGCAGCAGAGTAAATCTTTTTGGCATAAAACGATCTAAGAATTGACTAAACTAATCTTTAAAGGCAGCTGTATTATTTTGGTAGAGCAAAAATAATGGCAAAGAACTTCTGTTTCAATACCTTAACACATTTACTAAACAATCTTGTAAAGATAGCTTTTTCAAGGGAAACCTCAATCTTAAAAGCTGAGCTACATGAATAGTGCTTCATTTCTTCTTCCTTCCTTCCTTTTTTCTGTTATAGTAATAACACAGAATCAAGTTTTTCAATATTGATTCCCCAAATTTTCTCTCCGTTTCTGAGGAACTTCTGTTTAAATGAATACTGAAAACCCTACAAAAAGTTATGGAAAGTACAATAGTAGGCAGAACAATTTTTACATCTAAATAAATTAATGCTCCAATAGCTCCAAGCAGCTAAGCATGAAACAGTGCAATTCCCCTGCAATGTGAGTTAGCAGACAAATCAGATCAGCATTCCCTGCCACAATTCATGGCATCTGAAGAGCTTTAAGCATATTAGCTATCAAGTCACAGCCATGTTATCAGTTAGCAACCCTCAACATGTCAATAACTAGCAAGTGATAATACATTAAGGCTAAACCCAAAGAACGTTAGCATACCACGAACACACTTAATTTTCCTGTCTCTCTTTGGTCATTGCACTAGGATGCTTTCCAATTGTCTACCAAGTCCCTCAGTACTCAAGAACATATAACCAAGAAGAAATCATAAATGTCTGATTGTGTTTGTCTGCACAGATCTTTTCCAACAAAACATGAAGACCTGGAGGACAAGGCAGTAACGTCTCTTGTCATAAACAGTTTTATATTGGTTTGCAAACCCTATTCTTTCACTACAGCTCTATTTCCAGATATATCACCAATTATCACAGCTAGAGGGTGAAAAGCATTCATGCCAGTGTCACAAACCTTCACCTCCAGTCTAACAGTTTACATGGATCAGACCCGTTAGCTTTAGATGAAGAGCAGTCAGGGACAGCCAGTACCCATGGAGCTATCACAGCCCATTTACGGTGTGGTTTGACATTCTTACTCCTGTTCTCTGGCACCAACAGATTACCTTAAGTGTGTGGGTCCTTTGTGTTTTGCATCTCACCTAACTGGGGCTCATAGGAAGCACTGCACAGCCCAGAGAAATGTGGGACAAGCATTGCTGAAGTCACTAGTTATTTGGTCAAGGAAGAGTTCATTTTCTTAAAATTCTCTGACAACACATTTGGAGTGCCATAATTAGAGGCATTCAATAGCCATAAAGTCAGGATGGCAGCTAAAACAACCTGTTGCTACCTAAGTTAGGATTAATGAAGCCCTAAAGTTTCCAAAAAACAGTCATGACACATTAAGATACACAAACTTTGACCTATCAATATTTCTGTAATCTAGGAGACAACTAAATGTATGTACAGCAGAACATCCGATAATACGGACATAATAGGGAAGTGCCTACACACCAGTGAAGAGATTAGTACAAGTAACTGCTTCTAGAACCAATGAATTTACCTAGAAACACTTACAAAGCGTGTTATCTGTGAAAACACATTAAGAATACGTTCCATTTATATTTCATTAAAAAAAGCTTTCTTACCTTTAATTTTCTAACAGCATCTCTTACAACTTCTGTGCCTTTGGGCTGCTCCACTTCCGTACTGCCAAGAAACTGAAAAGAGTGTGATTTGTGAGAAATAAGTTATGCATTGAAAGGCCTAATTGACTCACGTAATCTTATTTTCCAATTATTTCCAAATAACATCTTGGAAAGAAAATCGTTTCAATAGTTGATAAATAACAAACCTTCATACAGCTATTCCTAATCAAGAGAATAACTAGAATTAAATTCTAATTAGACAAATATAAGAGTTCTCAAAAGCAGCACTTTTAAAAACCATTTTATTTCTCTCGATCCTATACAAGTCTGTAAATTAGAGGTTAAGTACCTTTTTCCACTGGCAAATTGTCATTTTGGTAATATCATCTCTTTTGGAAAATAATTAAAAAATGAAAAAAATTACTGATGTAAGATACTTCCCATGAATCAACATGAGCCAATGGGTTTGAACTATATTACTAAAATTTTCATATGGTGATGCAAGGTAAATTAAGAAGGTCCGATTTTGCTCTCAGAGCTGCATGGTACAGTGATTTCATAGATTTAAAAGAACTAGGCTCCAACTTACGTAAAAACAAGGCTCATATTCAAAGAATTTCTACTAGAGATCATATTTTTACCAAGTAAGGTTTTAAATGAAAACCAAACATATACCTGTTAATATACAAAGCATGATACTTCAAAGGGACCTTACCATTTCTTTATTTGTACACTGAAATGCCTTTACATTCTTCTGTAGAGTTTTGCTTGCCTTCTACTATACTGTTACGAAAGGTACAATAATCCTGCCCGAACCGCATCTGTGTAATAATTTAATTAATTGTGAATTGCCTGATTTTCACATTGAGGTACAGTTGATTTAAGTCACACCATGTACCTGTATATGCCAAAATAATACTAGCAAGGAAGAACCACCCCCCTTTTTTCTCTAAATACACAATTTTCTGTGTAACATGATGCATAGAGGTATGTGTAATTTTTAAGTTTAAGCAGTTTCAAAAGGAACTTAAATTTGCCAAGCTACAGATGCTTTCAACATAGTAACTGTGAAGTTTTTAATTTTATTAAAACTTCAAAACACGTTTACGCTCTACCAATAATTAAGTCTCATTAGAAATTTGCTACTGACTCTGAAATATGATGTGCCATCTTGAATACAATAGTGTGTAAATCAAAACACCATGCACATCTGCTGTCAATATTCTCTACTATTACAATTCTCCAGCTAGGAGACTAAGGTTTTGTAATAAGAAAGCAGAAACCTCCATTATTGATTTGTTGTCTTTCATGCAACATCTCCGATGACTTTAAATAGAGGATGTGTTCTTCCCTGGAAAAGTGACAGTTGGAGAAAATGCATATAGAGAAACAAGAATGATTCTTGGACATTATGGATACTGCATGTGACAGAGCCAGAAAGAGAAAGGTGGGTGAATGTGTGTGAGCAAATGTGAATTAAAAAAAAAGGTAACCACAAGCTTGAATGGACAGGAAAGAAAGTAGATAAGGACAGATGAGAATCTAAGAGGAATACTAATAATACCAGATATCTGTACACAAGCATATTTATACACCACAGACTTGGCTTGCTGTAAAGGCCTGCTGCTCACAAGAGCAGGCCCTGGTACATTATATACAGTACAGGAATCCTGCATAAACACACGAAATGACAGCTGCAAGTGTGGACGAGGCGCACGGAACAGAGAACGCAGGTCACTGCTGCCCACGGTGAAGTGGAAGACGGCTGAGCACACTTCATCCACATGTGCTTCCTAGTATTTGTGTAGTTTTGAAACTGGTAGTTCCAGAGGCATTATCAATGTAAGCAGCCTAGTACTTCTTGATATACATTTAGGGCCAGGCTGTGGGTAGAATTGTGTCAAGTACACTTCGAGATGCCCTGTGGTAAGCTGCCTCGCCTGCAGCCACTTCTCCAGAAGGGCATAGGGCTGCCCTAAGTTTCTTACTTGCTTACTTCCATCCAGATGACTGAAAGCTAAGATAGGAAAAGATATCTCAAAAGCAAGTCATTTCCCCTCCCCTTCCCTCTCAGCTATCTTCCTCTGATTCAAAGTCCAAGAAAAATGAAGGTATCTTCACTGTATTCAATAAATCCAAGCAGCAGACCAATCTTTCCATGAACAATAACTTCCATAAATACTGTTTTCCCAGGGGCTTGCACCTCCTGCTAATTCACATTACTGCCTTATAAGCACCAAATTAAGCTTCTGCCACAGCTGGGGCATCTGTTAAATTTCACTGAATTTGTAAGCCCATAGTAATGTTCGCCAAATTAGAAATTACCATTTCTGATCATGGAAGGAAAGGAGAAGCAGACATCTAAACGGAAAGCTAAACTGCTGAAAGCAGAGGTTTAAATGACTGACAAACCTGAAGAAACACACACAAATTGGGTTTGCTCAACAAGTTACAAAAGAAATAAACAACCAAGACCCAAAGTATATGGAAACATCAAGAGCATTATATCAATATTTATGGAACATAACTTTACTGTGTTCAGCTCCGGGGCCCCCAACATAAGAAGGACATGGACCTGTTGGAGCGAGTCCAGAGAAGGGCCATGAAGATGACCAGAGGGCTGGAGCACCTCTCCTATGAAGACAGGCTGAGAGAGTTGGGGTTGTTCAGCCTGGAGAAGAGAAGGCTCTTAGACCAGCCTTCAGGTCCCAGAGACCGGGCAAAAGTCTGGAGCAAGGAAGATCTTCCTCTTGGTGGAAGATCAGGTGAAAGGAAAGAGGGTAGATTTAGATTAGCTGTAAGGAAGAAATTCTTCACCATGAGGGTGGTGAGGCACTGGAACAGGCTGCCCAGAGAGGCTGTGGATGCCCCGTCCCTGGAAATCTTCAAGGCCAGGCTGGATAGGGCTTTGAAGAACCTGGTCTAGTGGAAGGTGTCTCTGCCCATGGCAGGTGTGTTGGAACTAGATGATCTTTAAGGTCCCTTCCAACTCAAACCGTCCTATGATTCTATGATTAACCAATCAGAATTCCACCAGTCATTCGCAATGTGCTGCCTTCCAGATGAGTATCAGTTTTGATATTAAGCATCACTACTGAAATTTTTACTGCTCTCCAAAGTTTTGAGCTGGATGTGGAATTAGAGCTTATGCTTAATAAACTATTCAGCGTAGGAAAATATAGTAAGATGCATTTAATCCAGAAATACAAAGAAGATTTGTAGCTTAAGTGTTAATATTAATCAGAGATGACGAGACCATGCCAAGGGTTGCATTATTTGGATCTGATATATATTTGTTTGTATCTCTGTTAACTGCAGTTCTATTTTTTTTATTAAGGTAAGTTCAAATTTTAGTTATAACTGCTCACACATTTCATGCCTGACCTTCATAAGCTTTCTCATTTAATTTATTTATTTCTTTTTGGTAAGAGAGTAAAAAAGAGAAAAACAGCAATTAACAGCAAATAGTCTGAATATTTGTATTAACTAAACTCATCTATTTTGGGGCAAAATATTAACAATTTCAAATCAAGACAAGTTATTTTCCAATTATAACAAAGGAATGACTACGCAATATTGGTTTAACATATTGCTAATGTATTAACTGGAGGCTTTTTATTGCTTGCTTTTTCATCTGTTCTGTACCTTTTCTGTGTGGTCTGCCCTATCATTGTATTTTGTTTAATATTAGGTACCAATTAGTATGGCATTACTTGTAGTAGTTAAGCTAAGCAAACACACATATATTTGCAAAACTGAGACTTCAGATGACAAGCTCAATGTGATGAAGGCCTCTGTGTTTGTATAATCCCTAACAATGGATGCGCTGCCACCTCCGGGACTTCTAAAGTAAATAACTAACAACTAATTCACCATCCTCATGAAATGGGGACGCGGCCATTTCGTTATGTTTTTTTCAGCAGATTTTTCTCATCAAATCTCACACAAACACAGAGAACAAATATTTGTTATATCAGGAATTCAGTACAGCTGTGGCATGAATAGTATAAATATTCATTGTGGAAGAGTTTCTGCAACAAAAATTTCAAAGCAAAATTGGTAAATATGAAACTTCCCTTTTGAAGATCAGGCTCCTTTAGAAAGCAATACTGATGCAAAATTCTAGACGGGAACTTTAAAAGTCAGCAATTGCTTTAGTCACTTCAGGTTCCCTCCTGCTGCTATGGCCCTCTTGCAGACCCAGCTGACCAACAACAACAACAACATGAAATATAACTGTTCCTGGCAGTCAAGCTAATACAACTCCCATGCTTAATTTAATTGCAGAACATGGAAACAGAATATAATGTAGCAGTTCCCCTTCAGATCACTCAGTATTAATCCTATATGCAATTTACTAAATGCATTAATTTCTTAAGTTTTCATGAACATAAAATACCTAATACAGATTAAAAATGTTTACATGTGAGTGTTATATGTATTTACAGTTTGCAACTAGTAAAAGGGTTATTCTTGAAGTTGGTGTACTTCATGCATAATAAGCCAATTCAAAAAAAATGTTCAATAAGTTAGGCATGCCACTAGACTCATCTTTTTAAATATTTATGTATTGTTATTTTAATGCTAAGGAGATGTTCACCAGAATCATACTGAGTTTCAGTTGGATGCTTTAAGAAGTTCAAAGAGGATGACATTTAGTATTTTGTATAACATAAAGCAAGCTAAGGTAATTTTTTCCCTATATAAATTACTACACATTTTTCATTGCAGTCTGCCATTCTTCCAAACACATTACCTACAAAACTGATGAAAGGCAATTTTTCTAATATATTACTTATTCTGATCTCACTTGTAGCTGCCTGTAATCAGAAATAACTTTTATGTGGTCAATGGATTTTATCAGTCAAATCAGTTTAACTGTTCCTTTAAAGTATATTAAGGCTTGTTCTTCCCTCACTGATGTTTGTCATTAAGAAAGTGAGATGTTGACCAGCCATACACAAGACAAACACCTCAGATCAAACTGTTTATAAACTAATATTAGCAGACAACCAGATGTGCTCGCTCCACATGCAAAGATTTGCAAGATAGTACAGCTGCGGAGATTTAAC